AAGGTTTTTTTGACTTACAGACTAATAATTTATAACATAATTAAAATAACAGACTAAAAATTTTACGTCTACTGAATCTACTACTTACGTTCACTGAATTAAAAGAATTTAAATGCCCAACACATGTACTTCTGCGTAAATTAAGTTCTAGTAATTTTACAATTTTAGAAATGTTAGTTAGAAATCCCATAAAACTGATATTCTGTTAATTGTACAATAAAATAAAAGTACACATGTTTGATTAAAATAAACCATTTTCTTAAATAATTAATCTATTTAGTTAATTAACCTTATAAAATTAAATTCCTTTGATATTTTCTAATCTCTGCTTTTATGTATAGATTTCTCTGATATTTCTTTTCTCTCATATAGTCTAATAAATCTAACAATTAAAATGAAAATCCATTGTTAATTGCGAGATACGTTTCAATAACGGCATTGCAAATTGTGAAGGAAGAGTAAAAAGACAAAACTATCTAGATTTAAGTAGTGTGCGATTGATTCCATGACATAAAATATCATTTGCTTCAGATGTGTTCTACGAATGCACGTAACGTGAAAATCATATACTCACCCTGCAAAGGAAATGAACTTTTGCAATTGCATAAATTTTAGTACAATTATTCAAGCAGTTTAATTAAACAAAATATCTTATAAATAAATCATAATATGAAGTTTAAATAAATAATGCATTAAATTCTTGGTACAGGCATAAAGACATGAATCTATTTTTTAAATTGAAAACAGCGTAAACTTTTACCTAAGTAAAAGCAGTCTGTACAAATCTCATAGTTCTTCACATTTTGCAAAGATCTTCTATAATGCAATATGATTTCTAATATCAGTACTTGAAGCACACGTTTTTATTCTATTTATATTAACAAACATAAACCTCTTCTTAATTTAATTAAAATGTCTTATGTCCTCCTTGTTTTAACCAAAACTTGTAGAATAATTAGGTTCATTTTTAAACAGGAAAACGTGAAAAATGAGCAACACCTTCGACGGGAATCGAACCACGTACCTCAGGAATACGCACCCAAAGTGCTGACCACTACACCACGAAGGCATGCTAAGGAGGCAGGAGAAATACCTTATAAACTACTAGAAATAGATTTATTTATTAATCCATTAAACCCGATATCCGAAGAAAACAACATTAATTTTGATATTTTACCACTTACATCGAGGAAAAAGATTTGTTGTTCTTTTTAGTAGTTTTCCCTCAAAAGCTACAAACTTTACGAAACTCGAAACGGAATGAGGTGTTGTAGTTTAAAGGTGTAGTAAAAAACAAAGTTTATATAATTATTTACATAGAAATAGGCATTTTTTCTCTATACTTCATAGAAAAAAGTAATAAATAAAGGTTTTTATTATTTAGTTTGGTTTCTCTGGGGGAAGTTTTCATATATTTCTTTCTATTTTAAATTAAAAGTAAGTTATTTAGGGTTATTTTAGTATATTACATTTATTTCAATAAATGTCAATCGGAAATGTTTAATATTTAACTGTCAATATGTTTGAATTACAAACTGTGACCATTAATAATTTTTTGCAGCAACCAACTTTAGATTTCTGGCAGAAAATAAGTATATATTTGAATTTTTTTCTTTGAATCAATTTATTTGCGTGTTTTGACAAATATCTAGTTATTTTTGAAAATTTGTTTAACAAAGTTTTTTTGTTAAAACTTTCAGCTACGTTTAGTTCGTGCATTTGTCCTGAGTACAGTTTGAGTTAGAGACCACTGCAGTAAGCAATGATTAGCCTGATATGCCTTAAACATGCTAATGGTGGTGTAGGACCTTCTGGTTTAATCCAGTCTACATCCCTTTGCCGCTAATCATAGAATTATTATAAACTTCCCAAAGGCAATGCTCTTAATAATTTTAAATAAATTTTAATACGATAAATTTCCTATGAAACAAACAGAAGTCCATTCTCACAGCATCTTGACTTTAATGACCGAACCACCCATCAGAGGCCGAGTGATAAAACTGCTGAATACGGTAATCGAACTCTGGTCTAATCCTGGCTAACAATCTGGATGCATTAAAATTAAAAGCAAGAATAAAGTTAAAAAATTTTCATTTTGCTTTTTATGTTTGTCTCTGAAATTTAAGCACTGGACACCTGTTTTGCTTTCTCGTTCGCGAATGGCATAGTTCAGAAATTCTTAATTTGCAAAGTAATGCTAACTTGCACATCTTGCCACTGAAAATATGTGACCAACGCATTTGAATTACTCAGCTTCACGTAAATATGAGTATTTTTTTCATTATTGTAGTCATAGTAATATACTTGATTATTAAGCAGGTAAACAATTTAATTGCATTTTTTTTAGTTTCACACCTGTAAGTTAAATACTTAATAATAAAATCAGTAGAAATTCATTATGCCGACCTCTTTGTCCTAAGACTCTTTTTTTTTGGGGGGGGGGAGAACAATATTTGGGTTTATAATACCTAGCCTATATTTTATACAGCACATTATAAACCAAAACCATGCAAACAAAATGTGTATAAAAAAGTAGTGAAATTTATTTTTTGTTTCAATAACTTGAAATGAAAAAAAAAATGAGAAATTACTAGGTTGATTTATGAAAAATATTCTTTCAAATTCCCGTTAGTGATATCTGCTACACTGAAAAAAACTGGAAGAACCTCCGTAAGAGGTTTAGCTCTGAAATCCATTTGTGTAAATCGACGTGATGATGTGCACCGTCTAAAAAACGAGCCAATGAACAAATAAGATGAGGATCAGCAAGGTAATCGTTGTACTCCATCAGATTAGATTAGGTTATTTGAGTATGACAAAGCATACTAAAGCTGTCTGCCAGAGGAGAGGGTTTTCTTTGTGAAAAATATGGGAAAAGCTGTGTCGTATTCACATTAAATAAAAAGAACCTTGAAATGTTCCTGCTTAGCTAGTTTATTCGGCTGGGCTCGAGCTCATCTCGAAATTCCATTAGTCAGTGATTTTAACCACTTGGTGACTTACGAGGTCATTGAACTCAGAATTGTGTGTAGAATGCATAGTACACATATTGATAGCATCATTGCTGCAAAAATTAACAAATATGGCCCCCAATCCAAGGAAAAGAGTGCTCTTATTCTTCTTTCCCTGCCGTAATAGAATTTAAAGACCCACCAGCGGTCGAGCAGTAAAAGCCACTGAACACTGGTAGTTCGGTCCGGGATTCGAGTTTCTGCAAACGGGCTGGCTGTATGGGCGCTTTCGTGGGTTTCCCCATGTGTAACGTGGGTTCGAGCTAGTTTTAAAAAAAGACCTTCACAGGGCAACCCTCTCTTTCCGTGTAGTGCCTGAGGGCAGAGCGCATATAATAAGTAAACACAATAGGATTTAAATTAATAAATGTTGCGATGGTTATTTCCTTTTATTCGTTCAGTTGCAGTATACAGCTAAGTAAAAACATATTCATTGCTATTTTTATTTTCCTAATTTGAATCAAATCAGACGTATAAATTTTAGTAGCAAGAGGAGGGGGGGTGTTAGTCAAGGTCTTAGGCACCTTATAAAGGGCAGCATGACTTTTTCTTACCTTCATCTTTAATTTGATGGAGAACAATCTGAGAAGCAGAGTGCAAAGATGTCGAATCCGTTCCTCTCTCTCGGTGGGAATTTCGTCTACACGAATTTCAAGTACCCCATGTTGCAGAGATAGTGTACATTTAACAAGCATTCCGATACATCTTCGTAATTATTGAAATCATATCATCACATTTCATGATTATGCGTGCTATCATACTCCCGGAGTCGTGGAGAATTTTATTGAAAAAAGTAATAAAAGTAATCTGATTCTAAGCTAGACACCTTGGCTGCTTAAACCAGATCTGCAAAAGCAGAATATTTTCTAGTCTAATTCTGTGAAAGAATATCATTAAAAGGATATCAATTCCATTAAATAACGCTACAGCAAGCGTTTTTTACACAGTAGAAAACCCATTTCTGCGAAAGGGCATGTTTAATTTGGTTAATAAATGAGCCATTCGAGATGATTTCTTATAAGTGGATTTATTGATAAATTAAATTGTAGAGTCATTAGGATTTTGTGAAGCAGGAGCGATGAAGAATCAACAATGTCCTCGCCGGAACTCGAACCACGGACTTCTGGAATACGCGCCGAGTGTGCTGACCACTACACCACGAAAACATGCTAAGAAGGCGGGAGAAATACCTTATAAAATACCCAGCGGAACACTATTTGATCTCCCTGACTATTGGATACAATATACCAAAAATCCTCTCATAGGAAACACTTTTCTGAGAACATAAAAAAGCTTCGGTATTAAAAACTACTTCTCTAAGACGATCATTTTTATAGAAAACCAAAATTCTCCTGGAAATATAGTGATAACAGATTTGCTGATATCGAATCCAAATATTTATTTTTTTTTATTCTGTATCTAGTGTTCAGGATTAATCACTGTTCCATTCTTGTATATGTTTTGTCTTATACTATGACGTATACTATGGGGGAAAAATGGAATCAAATGCATATTTCTTTTAGCACTGAATAACTTCATTTTGAGCATAAAAGCCTCCAAGACTACCCATAGAAAGTTGTATACAGTTATGAGACTGTATACAACTAATACTGCATTTAATAAGCTCAAAGATGCTGCATTTAATAAGCTCAAAGAAATGTCAAAAATTAGTGTCATATGCTCGCATTATATTTCTTAGATCTCCCACTGCTCGCGGATGCGGTTAAGGATATCCATTTCTCTTTAATTGTCTTTATGAATAAAAGCCCAGCATGTCTTTCATTTATGAAAGAAAGCGGCTAAAAAAAGGCCTTCATGTTTCCTGCTAAGAAAGAGTTTTGTGGCATAGCGAGGAAGCAATTTGTTTCTCATTCCAGATGGAATATATCTGCAGCTGTCCGTAAAAATCTAAAAAGTTTTGATTTAGGTCAGGAAGCTAACAATGGTTTTTATTACTATAAATCCCGGATCCTTTACTCTCTTACTTACTTTGCTTTCTAGTCTCTTTTCAGGCTCCGAAATGGTAAAAGAATGCCTCTTTTGAAATTTTATCTGGACATGATACTCAGATTTTTCTCTTTTACTTAGTTGCTTTTTCTTTTGAATATCTCCTAAAGCAGAGAAAGAAAATAAAACTTTAAATATGGGCTGTTGAATTTAAGAAATAATTCACTTTCCCATGCATTATTAAACAAGCAAGTTCAGAAAAATCAGAAGGTTTAGAGATCCATTTTCTCAATTTTTTAAGGGAATATTTTGTTTCTGCGTTCTAAGTAAAATATTCGAATTTTCTTAATTTTTATAAGACAATACGAGCAAAAATAATTATTCTCTGGAAATACGAATTCATTGAAAACTATAATGATACATCCATTGAATAAAACATGCTGGCTTCATCAGTTAATTTCGACAATGGTAAACGTTTTCAAGGTATATGAAATATATCTCTTAAACTAGTAATTATTTCCAATAAACAAAGACCGAAATAGGCTGGCACACTTTAAAAATACGAAGTCTATTATAAAAGTTAAGTTAAACCAATTTAAGTTAATGGTGCTTAATAGGCAACTTTATCTCGTATATCTCGCAGAAAATTGTTTGCCGCATGTTGCCCTATAACGAGAAAAGTCCAACATTTCTGGCCTTTCATAGGCAAACGCCAGAAATCTTTGTCAGATCTCTTAATTTTGGGTGGAGTTCCTTGCCTCCTGAACTTTATTGATATAGCTTTCTTGCATAAATTGCATTAGTATAGAAACTAAAATTAGAAATGTATGAATAGATAATGTAAAATTTATTTATCACCTTGAAAATTCTTATCTTCTGAGCAGTTTATCAGAAAGTCATAATAACAAAATTAGAGACATATAATATCATATTTAAAACAAACTGCGTTCAAACATTTTAGCTTATTTTATCATTTATAATATATCATCTTTGTTTACTTCGCACGTGATTCATGGAACTGGCAGTTGAAATATATGAAATGGAAACTAAAATATTCGGGAACGCTGGCATCCACAATAGATGACGAACACAAGATAAAATCAAAAATATTAAACTCATTTTTTGTAGTTTATTCAAAAACTGAGTACTGATGTTTTTATTTGTTCCTAAATATAAACAATTCATTCTTCAAATTACATTATGATAAAATATATGTTACTGATATAAACTTGTGAGACAAAAAGATGCAAAACATCACTTTTCGTAATCGCTTTTCTTAACTGAAATACAAGAAAAAATTTGATGTGCACACCACATGATTTCTTTGTACGGCCTATTAAATTATGCACATTATTTATTACACATTTAAACTGATTTCCTCAGATTTCTTAGAGATATATTTCTCTTTCAATCAACTCAGTTCTCTCTTCGTGGCAAGACAAAGAGACCTAAAAACTCAAAACAACTTCGTTAAAAATTGTAAAATACAGAAGAGCCTAAAACACCAAATACAGTTAAAAACAGTTAAGAAATCGATTTTTGCAATTAAAATCAGAGCTTCTATGGGAAAACAAGCAAGTCGGCCAACGGGCAGAAAGACAAAATTTTCGGTAAACAAAAAACTTAAAATTAAATTTTGGTCACACTGGAAAATGATACTGAAGTTTGTGAAACAAATGACTTAATTCACTATACTACTAACATTTTCAGATGTAAACAAACAACCGCCACATTTAAATTCTTAATAATTCTACCACCATTGCATGCAGATTAACTAAAGGTACAAAACCCTTAACCGGAGCATAAGAACAATATAATTCAATCACTTTTACAGCAAAAATGCACAATTTACCAATATATAAGAGTAAAAACACAGAGCTCACCAAGCTGGGTAAGATGGTGAGTATATATTCGTTGCTGCCGATTGCAAAAAAAAAAAAAAAAAAAAAAAAAAAAAAAAAAGGGGGAGGTGAATAACTACATGTTACAGCAGCCCAATATTCAAAATTTCAATGCTCTACTGCTAATCACTTTTCAGTTACGCGATATACATACGTATATACGCACAGACTTCATAAAAAAATCGTTTTTGAAACCATTTTCAGTCCGCTTTGGAAAAGGTAATCCCTTTATTATGTCCGTATGTACAGATGTCACACAAAATAGGCAAAAATCTTCAGAAGAGGAGTGGGAAATGCTGAAATGAACAGTGCAAATTTGAACTATCAAGTGGTTTATGCTTCAAAAAATGAATACGCTAAAAATGTTATTAAGAAATTCCTCTCTCAGTTTTGCCCATTTTTTTATTTAGGAGCAATATTGCTGCTTTCCAGCGATAGTAGTTAATTTGTAGTAGAACTAATAATACTTGCATGCTTACTTGCCAGAATTAGGAAGATAGTTAAAAATATTTTTTCATACATATTGTCAGATTTTCTAATAAATTTAATATTTTTAACGGTTACTGGATACGGATTTCAACGGTTATAAATAAATGATTTAGTTTTGCCAGGTCTAACGATGTAGCACCAGAGTATCACAGCAGAAAAAAAAAACAATGATATGATGAAAATAACTGCTACAGTGACAAATCAAAGCGATCATTACTTTAGAAGAAATTGAACTAAAAACAAATTGTCATTTTTGAGTAATAAAAATTTTAGCATTTGAGCAATAAAAACATTTTTTTTTTTTTTTTTTTTTTGTACAATGAAAAGAAACATTATTTGAGAAATGAAATCAATTGTTATTTAACAAGAAAAGCTTTCAGTATTTGAACAGTGAGTACCATCATCATTTGTACTGTGAAAAATACCATTATTGTTCATATCATCCCGTATTTGAATCGATAAATGTTGCAAACGCAAATCTCTTCTAATGAAAAGTTTTTCTTGGTAAAAATATTCCTACTTTCATATTCTGTGACCTGAAATTTTGATGCATAAAAGGTGTAAAAGTTGTGGGAAATGGAACCTCATTCAGTAACCAAGTATGCTCATGTTTATTCAATGATGCTTTGGAACCACATTTTACTGGAGAAAGTGTTTCTAGGTTAACTGAATATATGAATCTGCAGCAGCATTTCCTTCCTACTTCTACTTGTCTCATTGCATTGGTATAAAATCGCTCGTGGTAAATTTGGTTTCGAAAGATTCCTATCCTAAAACATACTTTTCTGTTAAATTAGAAGTTTAGAAATTTATGTATTTGTTCTTTATAATTAAATAATTTCTTTTACTTATAAAGTAAGTTTGTCTTATTACACAGAATTTTATAATGCTTGCATATAATTTCTATATAAAAATTCTTTAAGAACTTCTTTTGCATTTATGCTTTATTTCAATTAAGAATAAGTTATTTAATGGTCTGCCTAACAGTCTATATCATTAAAAAATAGTTATAACATTTTGATAGTTCAGCAGTTACTGAGTGTTTAATTACTAATTTCGTCTATCAACTATGTTGCCCAACCGGTATAGCGGTTAGAGTCGCTGACTGCCTTGTCGAAGGGCCCGAATTCGATTCACCAAGAAGGCATGCATGTTTGTAAATGTTGGTTGGTTGTAAATGGTGTTGGTACGACATGGTGGCACTCTAAATATGCGGGGAGCCGAAAGTCCTCTCGTCTGGTCTGGTAAAAGGGTTGGGAGATCCTCGGACCCATCCCCCCCGGGGAGTGCTCTCTATCAAAATTAGGGGAGGAACTGAGCTAAATCGCGCTGTCATCTGAAAGGTGTTCAAGGCTGTTGTCAATGGCAGGCGTAACCTAGCATTCCTTGCCACGAGGAATTTCGTGGGCTTGGGCTGACTACGTCAGATAAGAGAGCATAAGCATCCCCACCACCAACAACAACATCTTTTAACTGGCACCGGGCGGTAAAACGTAGCGAATTTGTATTTCTCATGCTTTTCCGAAAATATAATATTAATGCCATCCAATTTATGATGTACAAATCTTCTCTGAAAATCCTCTTTCTGAAAATCAATATTCTTTGTGGGCTTTTTCATGACTGGACACTATCTACACCTCTTTCAGTTACAATTACAATAGCAGCGTTGAAAATATTTTTCTCCTTTCTTATTCAGCTCTCATTTTATGACTTAGAATGTATATGGTTGATGGATAAAATTTAAAATTTAGCCCGCTAGTGGCCGAGCGGTAAAGTCGTTGAACACTGATGGCTCGGTCCGAAGTTCTAATGTCCGAAGTTCGAATTCGCCATCTGTAATGTGTAAACGAGCCAGCTTCCCTTAAAATATCTCAAGAAGGAAATTTCTAATGTTATCAGATAGCTCCAGAGTGCTTTTGTGATAATCAAGTAAATGAAACTAAAAATTTTAAATTAAATAATATTACTTAACCCTCCGTTCTAATGAAACTAATCCGAATTTTTATTTTTATTTTTATTTATTTATTTATTTATTTTGATAACTGAAGATATAAAAAAGTTTATACTAGTTTTTGCTACGTGCATCTAGAGACCTATTAAAACCAAAAAAATTATATATATATATATATATATATATTGGTATATATATATATATATATATAATAAAATAAAATAATAAATAAATATAAAAAAATGACTAAAATTTTCATTTTGAATGTATCACATTATGGCAACCATCCTGATGGGAAAGTGGTTAGCTACGCTGGCTGCCCTACCGAAGACACCGAATATAAGTCCCAGAGCTGGCAGGGATGTTTGTAACTGTTTATACGGCTTGGGAGCTTCAAAATATGCAGCGAGCCGAAAGTCTTCTCGAGAGATTAGTGGTAGGAAAAGACGGGTGGGAGACAATCGAATCTCTCCCCTACCGAAGACACCGAATATAAGTCCCAGAGCTGGCAGGGATGTTTGTAACTGTTTATACGGCTTGGGAGCTTCAAAATATGCAGCGAGCCGAAAGTCTTCTCGAGAGATTAGTGGTAGGAAAAGACGGGTGGGAGACAATCGAATCTCTCCCCTAGGGTGTTCTCCTTCAAAATTGTGGCAAACTGAGCATAAAGTCGGACTGTCACCTGTATAAAGATGCTCAAATCTCTGGTCAACAACAGACGCACTCTTGTACTCCTTGCCACGATGGTAGTTACTGGGCTTGTTTTGATTACATCAGACATGTGAGAATAGTGGCAACAACAAGGCAAAAATGCAAGGTCTAT